TCAGTGACTTGGAGGTGGGCATGGAAAGCACACTGTCCAAATTCGCTGATGACACCAAGATGTGGAACAAGGTGGGCACGTTGGAGAGGAGGGACAAAATCCAGCTAGATCTAGACAGGTTACAGAGGTAGGCAGATGAGAATAGGATGGAATTAATGCAGACAAGTGCAGGGTACTGTATCTAGGGAGAAGGAACCAGAAACACACCTATAGTCTGGGGAACACCCTTCTTGTCAACACAGTGGCAGAAAGAGATCTTGGAGTCACTGTTGACTCCAGGATGAACATGAGCTGCCAATGAGAGGAAGCGGTCAGTAAGGCTAACTGCACCTTGTTGTGCATCTACAGACGCATCATGAGCAGGTCCAGGGAAGTGATCCTTCCCTGGAAGTCAACTATGTGGTGTTGGAAGTCAACTATGTGGTGTTGGTCAGGCCACAGTTGAAGTACTGTATCCAGTTCTGGGCACCGCATTTCAAGAGGGATGTGGCTAGCATTGAGAGGGTCCAGAGGAGGGCCACTCGCATGGTCAAGGGGCAGCAGGTCAGGCCCTATGAAGAGAAGGGCCTGAATCTATTCAGCCTCCACAAAAGAAGGCTGAGAGGGGATCTGGTGGCCGTTTAAAAACTCATGAGCGGGGACCAGCGAAAATTGGGTGAGGCTCTGTTCCTGTGGGTACCACTGGGGGTTACTAGGAATAACGGCCATAAACTGTTAAAGAGAAGGTTCAGACTGGACATCAGGAGACATTACTTTACAGTTAGGGCTTGCAGGCTCTGGAATGGACTCCCAAGTAAGGTGGTGCTCTCTCCTACCTTGGGGATCTTCAGGAGGAGGCTGGACAGATATTTGGCTGGGGTTTTATGATCCCGGCACTGTTCCTGCCCAGGGCACGGTGTCGGACCTGGTCATCTGTTTAGGTCCCTTCTGACCCTAAGCACTATGAAACTATGAAAGTTTAGTGTCATCAGCAAACTTGGCCAGTGCACTTCTGACATCAATGTCCACATTGTTGATAATGATGTTAAAGAGAACTCATCCAAGGACAGCCTTGGGGGACACCAGTAGTCATGGAGCACCATAATGATTAGCTTCCATTGACTACTACTCTCTGGTTCCAACCTCAGAGCCAATTCCTCAGCCATTGGACTGTGGTGTAGCTGAGGCCACAGTTCTCCAATTTTTCCATGAGGAGATCATGGGACACCAGATCAAAGGCTTTTTTAAAGTCCAGATATATGATGTCAATCTCTTCTCCATTGTCCAGGTGATAGGTCACCTGGTCATAGAAGGAGATGAGATTGGTCAGGCAAGACCTACACTTTCTCTTTCAATAGGAAGATCTTGGCTATACATCTACTTTATGGACATGGGAGGCTCCTTCTTAGCTTGCTCCTGTGGCCATACGGCTGCAGGCAAGCAAAACTCAGGGGCATCTGAACCACAAGCCTCTGGGCTTGGGCCTTTATGTAAGATGCCCGCCAAAGGATTTGGAAGTATCTGAAGCCCCAGATGTGGGGGGAGGATGTTTTCTGATAGTAAGGCCATATGGTTCTTGAATGACTCATGGATTTGGAATTGATTTGGCTGATTTGGCTTGGGACACGATTTTTTTTTTTTAACTCAGTTGGGAATGCTCTGGCTATGCTGCTTAGCACTGATGACAAACAAAGGGAGGGGGTTGTATGTGTGCTTTGGTCTGGAGCTGTGGCAGGGTGTGTGCACATTGGGGGCTGGGGCTGTGTGTGCATGTGTATACATTTGTGTGTGTGCTGAGAGCTGGGAATGGGTGTCTTGCTGTTAGAGAGCCAGGCGAGCTAGACAGGCATGGAACAGGCTTGTCAGCTCCTAGCCATGTCGCTGGTTACCAGCTCTGTAGCAGCAGGTCAGATCTGTGTACCTTACAGAAGATTTAACCCTGAACATGCAGCTGCTTGCAGAGCATTTTAAATTTACACATGATTAACATTCCGTAAAGTCAGCACATGCTAATTGTAACATATGACCTTCTTGGTGCTTCTCCATAGACAGGACAGTTGCCTGCTACTGTGCAGACAAAATTATGTACAAAAGTGTAGTCTAACCGTAAATTACCAAAAAAATCATTGAAGAAGAACAGCCATTTCATCCTTAGTGTTTTCAGATAACTCACATTTGAGAAACAGAAGAAATTTGAAATATCTGTGTGCCAAAAAGTAACTGAGTGCTGTTACATTCCTGTTCAAATCAATGGCAAAATTCCCATTGACTTGACTGAGTCCAGGATTTTCACCCACAAAGTTCACTGAATGGCTGATTTGCTTACACTAGTTAAATAGCAGCTCTTTATTAACCCTCAAAATTTTGGAAACATAATTGTTATCTGCCAACATACTATATGATTGCAGTTCCAGTTTTAGTCTCTGCTGGACCATTACATGTCAGCAAAATCAGAATGGGTTTTTGAAGACAGTTTAGAGCTAAATATGATTTGTTAGGCTTTCAAGGCCATTCAATTTAGTGGGGCTAATGGAAACTTGCTGGGACCCTACCCATGATTGGGCAACACACATTGAGGGCTATAAGTTATACAGAAGGGACAGAGTAGGGAGGAAAGGGGCAGGGTTGCTCTCTATGTAAAGGAGCATTATACATCTACCCTAATCAAAATGGGATCAGAGGAGGAGAAAGTTGGTTAGGATACACGGAGGTTGAGGGGAAAAGGACTTGGTGGTGAGGATACAGAGGGAAGGTATCCCAGTATGAGGGAAAAGTACTGGGATGCCCCTCTATGCAACATTGGTCAGACTGAAGTTGGACTACTGCTTCCAGTTTTGGTGCCGTACTTCAAGAAGGATGTTGATAGACTCGAGAGGGTCCGGAAGAGAGCCACTCATATAGTTAGGGGCTTACAGGAGAAGCCCTATGAGGAGAAACTGAGGGACTCGGACCTCTTCAGCCTCCGCAAAGGAAGGCTGAGAGTTGATCATGTGGCCACCTACAAATTAATTAGGGGGATGCAGCAAGGGATCGGAGATGCTCTGTTCACCAGGGCACCTCTTGGGGTAACAAGGAACAATGGTCACAAACTGACAGAGAGCAGATTTAGACTAGATATCAGGAAAAACTTCTTCACAGTGAGGGTGGCTAAAATTTGGAATGGGCTTCCAAGGGAGGTGGTGCTCTCCCCTACCTTGGGGGTCTTTAAGAGAAGGCTGGATAGGCATCTGCCTGGGGTCATCTGGCCCCAGCACTCTTTCCTGCCTATGCAGGGGGTCAGAATCGATGATCTTTTGAGGTCCCTTCCAACCCTAGCATATATGAATCTATGACTCTATAAGGCTGAGAATTTAAACCTTGTGCTGATATATATCCTAGTGATTCAAAATAAAATATGTTTACTGTGACTTTCTAAGCTGAAAATGAAAAGGGAACATATTAAAGATTATTTTTTCAGCAAGTTAAAAAAAAAACACTACACATTTTTATTGCAGTCAGGTTGCATATCTCAAAAGCTTCTTCAGGAAAGGTTTTTTTTCCTTATACATTATATATGTTGCTTACATTTAACTATAAAAATATTATTCTGAATATATAGTAAGGCAAATTGACAGGGGTTGCAGTTACAAGTGCACTTTGCTGCAGAGTAGACTAATTAGCTCCTCCATAAACCATCACCGTCTACACATACACTGATATTAGGGTGCAGTAAACTAATTAACTCTGTCATAGAATAGTACTGTCAAGGACAGTACGGTCTTACAGCGGAGTAATTTACTGTGCTGAAACACATATGTAGAAGCTGACCGGGGCATATATTGGTCCTGGTTAGCCCAGCCAGTCAGGGGCCTGCTCTGCCCAGGCTGAAACTGTTGCTGTAGATGTAGATGTAGATGCTGTGTAGATGCTGTGCCCAGGAGCAGTTGCAGTAATTGCATATGTAGATGAACCCACAATATACTAAAATGATTCTTCAAGTATAATGTACTCTATATGAACAAATATATGTACTCTAATATACTTTATATGAACAAAGTCAGTGCTTTATTAAACATGTTTTATATTTTGCACGTGGGCTGTTTTTAGTGTTGTATGTGTGACAGAAAAACAAATATGAAACACATGCAGAAAAGCTGTCAGTATTGTGGCTTAATAAGGTTAGAACAACCAGAGAAGTCACCAGGATGCTGACTTCAGGGGAGAAGAGACAGAAAAAAACCCCACAGCTGCTGCTGGAGTCGCACAACTGTATGAGTGGCACAGTGGCAAACAGAATTTGCCACTGTCCCTGTGGCTAGTAGCTGCCCTGGGTGCCTGGCCATGTTGTTACACCACTTAAGGGAACAGAAGGAGGATGGAGCAGTTGGGAGTGGAAAAGTGAAGCCTTTGGCTACTTCTATAGGCCAGAAATACATTATTAACAGGAAGGAAAAAAATGGTTAGAAATTCTGATTCTCTGGCATGTCTCCAGGTCATGATGTCTCCTGGGGGTATTCCAGATGTAGGAGAGCTGACATACCACTCCCTGGTCAGAGTTTGGCCCAGATCAGCACTAATAACTTCTGCTGTTTTAAAAATATTTTTTTGATGTTGTATGTGCACATGCATATAACCCTCAAAGGAAATTGGTAGCCTTGGAGACAATAAAGGATCCTATCATGTTTTTTCCTTATAATTATTTTTACAAAATTCTCTTATTTTAGCAATGACAGTTTTTGTTACATAAAAATATCAACTAATTGTAAGATCACTTTTATAAAAGTCAGCTACAACTAGTGTACTAGTAAGGCAGGTGGTGAAGAAGGTACCATATACCATTCCAAATTCCCAGAAAATGTGAATTCAAGAAGGCACATGGGCAAGATGCTTTTAAGTGCTTTGTGATACCAGGAGTTATAACATGTTCTGTGGAGTTAGATTTCATATGGTAAATGCCAGTATATGTTTTTAGTAATTTGTTTTTTTTCCTCAGATAATAAACAGCTTTTTGGGTAATGGTGTCTTTTTTTCTGTTCATGCAGCTGTTCCACGTACCAGTGATACACAATGCAGCTCTGTTCCAGAGCCTAGATATGGGAGGAGAATTGGCTCTGAGTTTTCAGCAGGCTCTGTTGTTCGATTTGAATGTAGCCCTGGGTATCTGCTGCAAGGCTCTAAAGCTATCCAGTGCCAGTCTGTGCCTAATGCTTTAGCTCAGTGGAATGACACAGTCCCAAGCTGTGTAGGTAAGCAATTATCTTGGGTCATCTGTTGAGGTACCGGAGTCTTCAAACCAGAAATCATGACTTGTTTCAGAAAATAATATTTAATACATAGATACACTCTCCATTGATTAATACCAGTCATGTCCAATTTAAAAGAGTAATTTGTCATATCAAAAGTAATTGAGTAGCAGCTGGTTGGTAGGCAGTATGCTCTTTCATAGATTAGATTAACAAGTGCAATGCATGTTTTCTTGAATATTATTAACTACATGACTCCCTTAAAGTTATAAATATAGGATGGAACATCATTCTGTGAAAACTGACAAAATGCCAATTTGTTGTGCCATTTTTGTGGTACCCTTTTACCAGACGTATACTGATAGATAGATTGACAGATAGATAGACAGACAGACAGATGTAAGCAGTAGTAATGTACAATGCATACCAATACCATCATTAGCTTTAGTCAATTTGCTTCCTTTTGTAAAAGCCTCTGGTGGAATAATGCTTAGTACTTTGGACTTAGTCGTGAATATTAAAGCATTCTTTTCTTTCCCCTGGATTTCTGCATAAATTCATTGATATCCATGGTAGTTATGTGTCTGTCTGAAGAAGAAAATAAACTCTAAAGTATTTAAATTATAATTATCTGTAATAGTCTAAGTACAGTTGATTTCAGTGACTCATTTTTTGGGGAGTCTTTTCCTGGAACCTAAGGAAAAGCTGGACTGTATAGTAACAATATCATCTAATGCACTGCAGTGTCTTTTAGCAGCTGAAAGGAATATTAGAGGTTCTGTAGATTTAGGTGTCCTGATTACATTTTATTCAATTGAAATCTTTTATTCCAGAGTGCAGACCATCACTTAAAGCTAATGCATTTCCAACAGAAAAGGAGAGTTATGAACATTAGATCTATCTGCATTGCTAGTGTTAATTTTCTGTTCACTGAAGTGCTTTTGACAGTGTCATAATTTCTACTAACATTGTCTTTCAGTGCCATGCAGCGGAAATTTTACTGAACGGAGGGGCACTATCTTATCACCAGGTTACCCTGAACCCTATGGTAACAGCTTGAATTGTGTGTGGAAAATCATAGTGACTGAGGGATCAGGTATTCAGGCAAGTCCATATTCTGCCAAACATAGATGCTTCATAAATGCTTCATAGCACAGTGGTTTTGTTTTTTTTGTTTTCTAGACAAATTAGAAAAGAATAATCACATATTTTGCCCCATTATTTTAAAAATCGCTTTCTAATCTCTTTTTTGCTCACTGTTGATCAGGGAAAAAAGGGTGCCATGACTTCCGGCTTTCTCTTTTAACTGAGTAGAATAGTAAGTAAAAGTAGATCCTAGCCCTGCAGTCTACTATGTTCTCTTTTACTGTTGCATTCATGTCTCTGAGGTACAATAAGGAACAAAGGTCTAAATTTCCTTTATTCTGCACTTTTTTTGTACCTTGTATTTTACCCATATAAGATGCATACAAAAGTCTTCCATTCTGATCTGGTAATACTTTTATACTCATTCGGCATGACTGTTGATAATTTTAAAAATAGAAGGCAGTAGAGAATCAGGTGTATTTTCTTTAATTTTTTGTTTTTCTTTCTTTGTGCCTAATTTTGTAGGATTTGTTTCTTCTTTTTTTGTTTCTTTAGTTTGTATACATTTAACTTTTGGTTAACCCCCACCCTGCCCAAAACTCAGTCAGTGATGCTGTTTTACAGATCCAGGTCATCAGTTTTGCCACAGAACATAACTGGGACTCTCTTGAAATCTATGATGGTGGGGATATGACAGCACCACGACTTGGGAGTTTTTCAGGTAAGTGTATGCTCTAACTGAAATAAACTAGCTCTCTTAATGGTAGCCAGAATATGGATACCGCAGATAGGAAAGCTTCAATGATTTTATAAGCTACTTTCTAGTCTTCAGTTAGATATATGAACTGATATAACTTTTTTTTTCCATGTAATTACACTGAGAGAGCTTTTCAAAGGCCCACATGATTCTTATACATTATTTTGCATGAAAATAAGTGGGATTTAAGTGCCTGACAGTAGCTTTGAAAAATCTTCCCCTTTGTCAATTGTAATTTGTAAATTATGTAAATATGCTTCATTAACATGAAGTGGGGCTTACCCTTGGGCATTATGCTTTAGGTACTTGCACTTAAATTTGCCCTTGTTGGCCTCACACTTTTAGGAAGAAGATTAAGTCACTTGGTATTCATATAAGCTCAGTACACCCAGAAAGCAGAACAAACTGGGAAACTAAAGATACAACAAACCATGTAATTTGTTGTGTCAAATTACATTTCACAGTACATTAGACATCTCTGGCTACACTCCCCTTTCATAAAATATATATTTTTTAATTAAAGGAATGTGTTATTTAAACCCTACAAATATGAATCCAACCTTACAGAGGATGGTTCACTTAATTTTATCTCAGACTTACATATTCTGAGTGAGTCCAGGCTTAATTCTATGGCATAGCAAGAGCATTCCAGGGCTAGGGGGTAAATTTGCTGAAGGGAAACTCCAACAAAGTGGGGTGAAAGGCTTTCCTTAGCTCCCACACAGTGGATGTGGGGAATAGAAAAGACAGGTAAGGGTCACTTGCAAGATATTCAGAGAGCACTGAGGAAAGAAATTATCTTGACTATTCAAAGGGCAACTCTTGATTGAAGATATCTTTGTGTGGGCAAGAAATAAAGTTGAATTCATGAGATCTGCAAAGGTTGTTCAGCTTAAAGGAAGAAGGTTGGGAGATTAGGCTTTGACTTAATTGATCAATTTATATTATTGAGCCAGATCATGGCAGGAAAATGTAGCTACAGTTACCAACAGTGGTAGCTATTTCATCACGGAAAAGTGAGGAAGCTGAGAAAGACTTAGAATCAGGATCTGCAGCTTTTATTAGGGATGTTGTCATGTATCATTTTTAATTAGTCATTTTCCAAACATGCATTATGCTTAATGCTTGGAAAGGCTATTAAAGATACTTTTTAGAAGTTTCTCATTTGTTTTCAATGAGAATGTTCCATAAAAAAGGAAATTTGATGATTAAACAAAGCTATTGTCCCCAGAACTAGCTTTCTCCTGGAAAATAGCCTGGCTTCACAGATTACAATCAGAAAGACAAAAATCATGATCCCAGAAATTGTGGGCAAGACCTGTACTGGGATGGGATGATTGAAAAGGTTTTAGAAATGCTTCTTACCCCAAACATTGCTTCTTACCCCAAACAGTTTTACCAGAAAGGCTTTAGATACTATAAAAGGTGTCCACTCCAATTATCTCCCTCCTAAAAATGAATCTTTTGGTCCTTAGGGGTTTCCACCCTTTTCTTTTTAAATGTTCCAGCTCAGTATAGATCAAAGGTGTAGATTAAAGTGGTTGCAATCTCCTCCCCTGAGAGATGGATCCACCTCCTATCCCCTTCTAGCTTCCGAAGGTCCCACAGACAGTCATAAAATGACATCTCTTCCTATAGGGATCCATGTAGAGCAGGGGTGGGCAAAATGGCCAAACCAGCCAGCAGCTGGACACCATTTCCTAGCAGCCCCTGCACATGTTGCTGTGGCAGGTTTCCATGGAGACCTCAATAGCAGTGGCACTGTGCAAGTATGGGGCCAGGATTTCTATGGAGACCGGCTGTAGTAATGCTGGCAGGGTGCACAGCTGGGTGGGGAGCTGCACCAGGGCTGGGGCTGCGTTATTGCAGTGGTGACAGTGTGGTCTGGAGCTGGAGCAGAGCCATGGTCCGCTGCCTACATGCCCCTGCCATGGATGTGTGGACAGCAGATTGCAGAGAGAGAGATGGTAGAGAACTATCTCCTAAAATTCATATTGAACGGAATGGATTTCAGGTTTCTGCTTAAAGTATAATGATATTAGAGAGTGGAGATAGATGAGAAGGGTACTGCCATAGAGGAGGCCAAAACTGGGTTTGAGGTGCAGTTAACTACAGAATTAAGACACATCCTCAAAAGCCAGGTGAAGAGGGCTATATATATAGGTATATAGGTATTGATATTCATCAATATGAATGTTAGGAGATGGTTCTCTTGCAGTTTATTATGCCTGGCTTAGCATCTCTAAATTTAAATCAGTGGCAACAACTTCCTTTCAAGGAGGATGGCAGTATTACCCAGTGACAAAACAGCTTTCAGTAAGCAAGGTATTATTTAATTAGAACAAAAGTACTGTATTTACTCAATTCTAAGATGAGGGTTTCCCCCCTATTTAACATGAGTGGAAAGTCCCTTGTCTTAGAATCAAGTACAAGTGCTGGGGGAAAGGGGCAGACAGGCAGCTCCAAACCCTGTCCCTGCCAACCCCTGACTCCAACCCCTGTCTCTGCCTAGGGTATGGGCCATAGCTGCAGCTGCTGCCTCTCCCCCCACACTTCTGTACCCCACCATCTAATCCCTGGAGTTTCTCCTCCCCCATGTAGACTCTGCTCTCCCACATGCCCCTCTACTTCCCCCTCATATTCTTGTTATGCATTGCAGGCTTCATACATGTGGCAGCCTGGGACACTGAGTATGGTCCTAACACAGCCCCATACTGGTGGCATGCATCCTGCATGATTGCAATGGGTTAGGGCCAGGCTTGGGCTATGCTCAGTGCTCCAGGCTAGAATGGGGCTGGAGCCTGCTCCATGGAACAGGGGCTGGTGGGGAAAAGGGAGCAAAACCTGGGGAGGATTGGGGGAGCAGAAGCTGGGGATGAAGGAGGGACCTGGGGCTATGGGGAGGCAGGCAGGAAGTAGGGGG